TATTATTATTATTATTATTATTATTATTATTATTATTATTATAGAGGAAAGGGAAGCTGAGGGCTTTATGTGCTTAAATCCTTTCTTTTTTTTCAAGGTAGAGTTTCACATGGTCCATCCAGGCTGTCTGGAATTAAGGCCTCTACCTAAGGATGGCCTTGAACTTCTGATCCTCCTTGCTTCCACCTTCAGAGTGCTGGGATTAGAGGCAAACACAACCACACTCAGTTTGTACCTAAATCTCAAATGGAATTGCTTCAGAGAGAAGGGGGGGCATATTTTCCTCCCACACTGACTGTGGTGGGTTGAACAAGAAAGGCTCCCATAGGCTCACAGGTTTGAACACTTGGTCCCAAGCTGAAACTGTTTGGGAAGGCTCAAGAGGTGTGGCTCTGTTGGAGGAGCAGTGTAACTCAGTGCAGGCTTTGAGGTTTCAAAGGCCCACACCATTCCCAGGACTTTCTCTCTCTTTCTGCCTTATTGGTCAAGATGTGAGCTCTCAGCTGTTCCTTCATCTGCCACCAAGGCCTCCAACCCTCTGAAGCCACATCCCAGTTAACACTTTCTTTTACCACAGCGACAGAACAGTGGCTAAGACACTGACACACACAGCTGACTCCTTAGAGAACCGTGGATCTCACACTTCACCTTTGGGTCTTACCCTAGACAACACCCTGCTCCTCAGACAGCAAGAATTAGACCCAAGGCCAGCACAGGCGCCCCTCACATCTGAGGACTCCGGCAGGACACAGCCAGCTAACATTCCCTCCTCAGGGATGCTCACGGATACAGGAATCCTTCAGACAGAAACAAGCAAGGACCTGCAATAAATTGGGTTTTCTAACTTTTTTTCCTCACCCTAGCCTTTATATAAAGTGCAGAATCTGCAAAGGACAGATACAAACGAAAGGCCACAGGGTCCTCAGAAAAGAAAAAGGGAAGAGTTTCCAGGAAGGAAGGTGTCCTTCCGTTAAAGCATCCCATGTCAGCTGTGATTGGGTGAAAGTTGACAAGGGGCAGGGTCAATTCTCTAGGGTCTTTGAGCTCACTCAGAATCCAGGAAAGTAGCTAAGCCTCAAGTAAATTGGTTCCAAAAGCAACAAAACCCCAAGGCGATTGTTACTGATTTTGGCAAAGCAAAAAGAAAAATGAAGCTTTTCCCCAGGGACATGAACATAGGTAAGTAACACCACAGCTCCTGCCTCAGACCTAAGCAATGTCCGTCCACTGAGAACTGAGGACAGTGTCTGTCCCTGTGGACTCAGCAGGCCATCCATGAGCCCCCAAAGAAGAAACGGAAGTTTCATGGCTGGGCCCTGGCACCCAGGGATCCCCTGTGACCAGTCATTCTTTGTGAGAGTGTGGAGACACATTTTCCTCTCCCGGTTTGCTTTGTGCGGCACTTGGCCCAGACAACAAGGTGAACCACAGTGCCACAAAGGAGGGCGCTCCACTCTCGAGCTCCACGCTGCACGGATTCCCGTCTGAGCAGTGGATTCAGTCAGACGTGTAGTCCGCCTTAGTTCCCAGGTACTTAGATTTCCCTGTCTTTTTAAACTTAAAAAAATAAAAAAAGAGAGGAAATTCAACTTGGCAATGGCAAATGGATTTATAGTTTGCCTACACCAGGGAGAAAAGTCCACTTTCCTCGTCTCCTCTGAAACACCACAATCTTATAGAAAAGATGAAAAGAAGACCATCGTGTGCGTATACTAATTCAGCTGTGGGGTAAATGGCCCCAACTGTGTGAAGTCTTCCTAGAAGGTAAGCTCCTCCTCTGGCCGAGGCAGGGCTGCATAGTCTTTCCCTCTGCACAGCATGGGACTGGGGGAAATCTGAGTTCTTTGGAGTCCGCTGTTTCCATACACTGACAGTTGATGGCAGGGCACACGTGTCTCCAACCAGAACATCCCTTCTCCTGCCAGGGCCAGGCTTCCACCTCGGTGTTCGTTTTTGACACTTGAGTGAGCTCTGCCTCTTTTTCATGAGGCAGAACAGAGTGGAGTCAGATTTGATCATGAAGGGGGTGAAGCCGGGAGGGGATGAAGCTGGGAGGGGATGAAGCCGGGAGGGGAGGGGTTTCCACACGGACATCAGGAGGGCTGGAAACTGGGCTCTTGACACGAGGCTCCTAGTATGGACTTAGACAGATGATGAAGTCAGTGTCTGCTGATTTTTTGGAACACTTCTGTTAAAATAAGCTCCAGCGCTCTACGTACACACATGAAAAGCCCTCCAGACCCACACTCCACACCTGAAATTCTGCCAGGCATCAAAGGACGGCCAAAACTTGCTCAGGGGAAGTGTCAAAAGATGGTTGTGAAATGGAATGAAAGCAACCCGGCACCTCAGTTGGGCGTCTCTGAACCCAGTCTGAGGAAATAATTATCTCGATGAAAGCAATTCAGTTTCTACCAATTACCCCTGCTCCAAACCTCACTCCTTTATGGAAATACGCACTATGGAGCCAAGGTTATAAGAGAGAAGCCAGGGAATGTTCTGCATGACTACAATGGTTTGAATCTTTACGCAGTTGGGACACTGGGCTTAGAACTTTATGTACAATGGCTCGTTTGAAGTTCAAGGCAACTCTAAATTATCCCCATTCTCACATTCCATTGACGAGGAAAATTTAATCTGAGAGTGTTTAAAATCCAAGCTGACACCACTGATGATGGAGTTGAAATTCGAAAGGGTTCTGTCTCATTGTATTATTATTTTTAAAAGCATTATTTATCTGAGACAGAGTAGGTAGCCCTGGCTAATCTGGAACTCACTATGTAGACAAGGCTGGTCTTGAACCCTCAGACATCTGCCTGCCTCTACCTCTCGAGTACTAGGATTAAAAGTATGCACCAGGAGCTGGAGAGATCATTTAGAGGTTAACAGCATTGGTTGTTCTTACAGAGGACAAAGGTTTGGTACCCGGCACCTACATGGTGGCTCACAGTCATCCATAACTGAGGTTCTAGAGGATAAAACTCCATCTTCTGACCTCTGTGGGCACCAGGCATGAATATGGTACACATACATCCATACAAGAAAGACATTCATACACATAAAAATAAATAAATATATTCAAAACCCCTAAAATATAAAAGTGCACCACCACACCCGGCCTAATTATATAGTTGTGTGTGTGTGTGTGTGTGTGTGTGTGTGTGTGTGTGCGCGCGTGCGCGCGCGCGCGCGCACAAAGATCAAAGCATAATTTGCTAGGGTCAGTCTTTCCTTCTACCATGTAGGTCACAAAGATCAAACTCACGTTGTCAGGTTTAGGAGCAAGTGCCTTTACCTACTAAACTACCAATGGCTTTCCTTTTCCCCTTCGAAAATGGCATCTTACTATGTAGCCCGGATTGGCCTGGAATTATTTAGACCAGACTGGCTTCAAACCCAGAGATCTGCCTGCTTCTGCCTCCTATGTGGTAGGATTACAAGTGTACACCACTATACCTGGATTATATATATATATATACATATATATCCATATATAATATATATACATATATATATATTCATATATAATATATATTATATATGAATAATACACACACACAAAGATTCAGAATGTTGTAATCCAATAACACATCATATTTACATCCATCTATCAAAATTTGCTAGATAGATATTTTATCCTATCTTTGCTTGTAAGTCTTTGCTTATCCTGTTCCAGATTCTTCTTCATTCCCTCTCCTGGCATTGTTTTAAGTTTATTTTCTTTTATAATTGTTTTTGTTTTCTACCATATCACAGTCTAAGTAAATTTCTATCACAATTAGGAATATTTACAGCCGGGCCGTGGTGGTGCATGCCTTTAATCCCAGCACTCAGGAGGCAGAGCCAGATGGATCTCTGTGAGTTTGAGGCCAGCCTGGGCTACCAAGTGAGTTCCAGGAAAAGTGCAAAGTTACACAGGGAAATCCTGTCTTGAAAAACCAAAAAAAAAAAAAAAAAGGAAAAATATTTACAAAGTCAAAAACATTATCTCCCATAATAATAAATATAAAATCTATGTAATTAATTATGCTAAAAATTGTCTTTCAATAATAAAAGAAAACAAACCTACACCTTTAAACTAAAAATCAGAGATATCAAAGTACCTTCAGTGGGCCTTTCATATTTTAAATATACATACATTTTATGCACAAAAATTAAAAAAGTTCATTAGCATATTAGTTATGCATAATAATGGGATTTGTTACACGACATTTTCACACATGTACATAATGTACTTTGATCATATTTACTCTCATTATGCTTTTAAGCATTATAAGTATATAGATCTGGCACATCTGTGTGAGAAGAGAATTTAAAATACTTAGGATGGCTGACGAGAGGCATAAACCATTCCCATGTGTCAAATGAAGGCAGGCACCTATGACATATAAACACTGAGAAAAGCGGAGGTCTCACTCCAAGCAAGCCTCCACCTTCCCAGGTTTGCGGCTGGTTGTGGGTGAGGGGGAAACAAGACTGGACGGGAGGCAACAGTGCATGCATGATCCCATGCCTTCGGCCCACACTCTGGGCAGCCATGCAGCCACATGCTCCCATCTTCCTCCGCTGCTCAACTGGGATCGCCGCCATGTGCCAAGGGGAACATCTCAGGAGGGCCACTCACACTGACGCAGACTCTCTGGTTACGGGATAGTGTAAGAAGGGCCGCTTCGGACTACCAGAGGACAACCTGCCCGGGGGTGGAGCTTCTGCCCCAGCTGTCCCTGAAAGGTTGGACCAACAGAAGGGTGGTGGTCAGGGGAGTCCTCAGATGCAGTGCGGCCCTTCACTGGGGCTGGCTGGGCTCTCATCTTGCACAGTGTGTTTATTCCTTTGGAGTAGAACATTCCAAAGTAAACCCAATGTCTTAGCTGAAGAAACTCACGCCTAGTTCTTACCTAGAAACACTTAAAGTGGTCCTGCTTTTAAAAGTCCACTTACAACGGACTGAGTGAACCTGTAAACGCAGACGGAACGCATGCAGCCCAGAAATAGCATACCTCGTTTTCTGTCCACCTCTGTCCATTCATCTATATGAAGCATACAAAAAGAAAACACCAGTTCAGGAAGCAAGAACATTAGAACATTAGTTGCATGGAGGCTTTACAAATACCATATTCAGTCTCTGGCCAGTCGAATTTTGTTTTTTTATTAATATTTGAATTTCACGTCTTTTTTTGTTTTTGTTTTTTCAGGACAGAGTTTCTTTGTGTAGCCCTGGCTGTCCTGGAACTAGCTCTGTAGACCAGGCTAGCCAACAACTCAAGAGATCTGCCTGCCTCTGCCTCTGGACTGCTGGGATTAAAGGCGTGCGCCACCACTGCCTGGCTCTTTGTCTGTGCATCTCTCTCTCTCTGTGTGTCTGTTTGCCTGCATGTATGTATACCACATGTGTGCCTAGTGCCCTTGGGGACAAGAGGGAGTCATCCTCTAGAGTTACAGACAGTTGTGATCTGCAGTGTGGGTGCTGGGAATTGAACCGGTGCCTTCCAAAAGAGCAGTCCATGCTCTTAACCACTGAGCCATCTCTCCAGTCTGTTGAATTTAATGTCTTATGTGCATGTTTCACCTCCAATTAGAAACTTTTTTTTTTTAAATTAAGAGCTGTAAAAACTAGGTAAATGACTAGTGGAAAAAATAGCCCAAGAGGACGCTCAGGAGGACTAGCTCCCGTGGAGCTCCTCTTAGAAGGCTCCAGAAGTTGTATTTTCCAATGCTGTAAGAACATACATTATGCTGGGCACAGTGGCACACATCTTTAATCCCAGCACTTGAGAAGCAGAGGTAGGCAGATCTCTGTGAGTTCGAGGCCAGCCTGGTCTACAGAGTGAGACACTGCCTCAAAAAAAAAAAAAAAAAAAAGCAAGCATAAAGCAGACTTTCAACACTAGCTCCCCAATGAAGAATAATTCCAAAAACAGACAGAAAAAGGAGTTTTTTTTTGAACAGTCTGATTAAAAAAAAAAAATTATTTAACCTTTGTTTTTTTTTTTTTCCAAGACAGGGTTTCTCTGTGTAGCTTTGGAACCTATCCTGGAACTCCCTTTGTAGATCAAGCTGGCTTTGAACTCAGAGATCTGCCTGCCTCTGCCTCCCCAGTGCTGGGACTAAAGGCGCCACTACTGCCCGGCTATTTAACTTTATTTTATGTGCATTGGTGTGAAGGTGTCAGTTGTGAGCTGCCGTGTGGGTGCTGGGAATTGAACTCGGGTCCTCTGGAAGAACAGTTGGTGTTCTTAACCACTGAGCCATCTCTCCAGCCCTGGACAGTCTGATTTTTTTTTTTCCTCCCTAGAGCTGGGATTGAATCTAGGGTCTTGTGCATTTTAGCAGGTAAGTGTTGTACCTTGAATTTCATGTCTTTTTTTGGTTTTTCGAGACAGATCTCTACCCTAAGCCCTGAAAATCAACTTTTTCCCTTTCTCATGTCATTGGTGGGAACATTTCAGTCCACAGCCTCCCTCCACTTCCACTTTCCCACCCCTTCCAATAAAGAGTTCCACACACATATTCACGTGTGGAAAGCATTTCACAACTAATGGCATTTTGGGAAACACTTGCCACTGTATTGCTTGGGAATGATCTGAAGTACAGTGAAGCGATGCACACCTTCACCGCACACTGGCATGGCCTCCACATACAGTACAAACAGCTCTTCTGAGACTAGCAGGCTCCACTGCGAGGTCAGATTCCCCTCGAAGTCACCGTCTTTCTCAAGAGTCACGGGCTTAGCTGGGCCTGGTGGCACAGGACTGTAGTTCTAGCTACTCAGGTCGCTGAGGCTGGACCAAAAGTTTAAGATCTGCTGGACCTACAGAATGAATCCATGGCAGCTTAGTGGGACGCTATCTCTAAATCAGGTGGGCTGGGAAGCTCAGCGGCAAAGCGCTTGCCTAGTGTGCATGACATGCGCTAGGTCCAGTTCCCAGCACTGGGGGGAGGGTGATAAAGTCTTAGGCTTTTGGAGAGACTGTCACCGGGAAGCAGGCCCTGGTCCGGCCTTCCTAAAGCAGTTATTTGTTTCTTGGGCATTGTATTCACACCTGATGGTTCTCTGTGGTATGAGCCCCATGGACTTGCAGTATTTAGAGATGGAGAGTTTTCATCCTCTTGACGATGTGTCTGGGGACAATGACACTCTGCCTGCTGTGGATAAAACTGGAAAACGCCAGGGAGCATTGTGACTCCAGTCGGCAATGGCACCCAGCACCAGCAGAGGGCTCTAGAGAGCTGCCAGGTCCTCCCCATTTTCCTCTTTAAAGAGGCAGGGTAGGTACCGTGGGCCCCGCCTTCTGCCCTCCAGATGAGTCAGTCTGTGACAGTTCAACTTCAGTTATACTTTGCATGGGATGTAGGCCTATGGGTTTCGGGGCTGGCTGTTAAATTTCATCCAGAAAAATCAGAATAGAACACCACTGCTATTTAGTCCTTCGGTAGGACATGTCTTAGGAAAACAAAACAAAACAAAACAAAACAAAACAAAAACAAGCAAACAAACAAAACAAGAACAAAAAAGCCACTCCACAGTCATGTGGTCATGATCTCAGTTTCTTCTCCTGTAATAAGGAAGGTAAACACGATGTAACAGGGTTTTAGCTCTAGGGCTTTTCTGAGGACAGAAGTGAGGCAAAAGGTAGCTTTTATTGCCCACTCTATTGCTTAAAATGTGAGACAGCATTTAGAATGCAACTCTCACCAGCAGCCTCATTAAGAGCATGCTTCCTTTCTGTTCAACGCTAAACTCTGGCTGCATTGTGGGAGAAACTGCAATGCCTGTGCTGGCCTTGTGGGAACAGGGACGGCCTCCAGGAGACCAATTAGTTGTGTAAGATAATGAAAACAGCTCCAAGAAACACGATTCCCTCAAAGCCTCCATGAGGACTAATTTAGAAAGTCTGTGTTTTTATTGGCCGGTGTATAGGCGTCTGTCACAATGGCCCTGGCTCCAGCTCCTGCAGCGACACCAGCTTTAACAGCAGAAGAGCCTTGCTCTTCTCAGCTTTTCCATCATGCTGTTTGCTTTCCTTCTCTTCTACAAGGCCTCACTGGTCAACTATATCATCATTTCTTTTAGAAACTCGATATGCACACACACACATGCACATTGTGCCCATTTGTGTGTGTGTGTGTGTGTGTGTGTGTGTGTGTGTGTGTGTGTGTATCTCAAAGTCTTCTGTCTCCTCTTGATCCACCAGATCCCACAGAATTCCCATACAGTCCCGTCAGAAAAGGCAACATAGTGCAGGAGTTAAGGACAAGCTGGACAGGAGGAGGAGCTCTGGAGTCTCATGGCCTGGAGTGGTCAAGTCGCTTACTCTTCCCACCACCGTGCGACCCTAGGCAAAGCAGCTTTGGCTTTTCTTGTAGATTTGGCTGGTAGTGTTATCTAATGACAGAAGAGCTGTAGGTATCAATGAAGTATTGATACAGTGGAAAAACTGTTTTCATAGTCAGGAGTGGTGGTTTGCGCCAACAATCCCAGCACTTAGGAGGTTGAGGCAAGAGGACTGTTGAGAATTCCAGGCCAATCCATGCTACTCAGTGAGTTTTGGGACAGCTACAGCATGAACCCTGTTTCAACAATGCAAAATAAATATTTTATTGTTGTTGTTATAGAGATGTGTCTTGAGTTTTAGAATCAGTTATGGATTGGGCTCATCAATTCCACTTCCAGGAGCTGCACAGAAAGGCTTAATCCAGTTATCCCTAAAATCTCACATGGCTTGACATCTGCCAGAAACTGTGGAATGAGTGAGCGTATGAAAATGAATTACTAAAGACGGCTGAAAGTCCATAAACCTGGATCTAGGCAAACCAGAAAGACTACCACTCCTAAACATTTTTTTTCCCTGGATATAATGGCACACAACTGTGATACCAACACTAGGGTGGTGAGAACAGGGGGATCAGAAGTTCAAGGCCAGCCTTTGTTACATGAGACCCTGTCTCAGAAAACCAAAATAGTGAGCTTTCATATATATTGTACTTCTGAGACAGGGTCTCACTATGTGGTGCTGGCTGGCCTGGGATTTACTAGGTAGACCAGGCTGGCCTTGTACTCACTAGGTAGCCCAGGCTGGCCTTGAACTCACTAGGTAGCCCAGGCTAGTCTTGAACTTGCAGTGATCCTCTTGCTTTAGCCATCCAAGTGCCTGGCTTACACACTACAGCTCTTGGTTTTTAAATTTTTATTTTATTTTGTTTATTTATTTATTTAGTTAGTGTGTGTGTGTGTGTGTGTGTGTGTTTTAAGACAGGGTTTCTCTATGTAGCCTTGGCTGTCCTAGTACTCACTCTGTAGGTCAGGCTGGCCTTAAAATCACAGAGATCCGCTTGTCTCTGCTTCCTGAGTCCTGGGATTAAAGGCGTTCGTCACCACACCCAGCTAAATTTTTATTTTTAATTATGTGTATGTGTCTGGGTATGTGCCTGTAAGTACAGATGCTCTGGGAGGCCAGAGCAGGGTGCTGGATTCCCTGGGGTTGGAGTTACAGGTAGCTGTACACTTCCCAGTGGATGCTGGGAATGGAACATTGAAAGTGGAGCAAGTGATCTTAACTGCAGACTCTTTTTCAGCCTGCAACTTTAGTTCTTAAAGACAAAGCCTGGCTCCTATTTACAGAACCTTGCCCAGACCACCTCTGGAAAGACAGTATTAACTACTAACTGTGAACATGAAATGCATGTTCATTCAGTCCTTACAACTTTGCTTTCAGGTGTGTATTATTATTATTATTACTACTACCATTTTATAGAAAAACAGGCTCACAGAAGCTACACCCCAAGATCATACAGCTAGCTAAATGTGGAATCTAGACCTGCATGCCTCCAAAGTGCACACCTTTTTTTTTTTTTTGTTGTTGTTGTTTGTTTGTTTGTCTGTGTAGTTTTGGTGCCTGTCCTGGATCTCACTCTGTAGACCAGGCTGACCTCAAACTCACAGAGATCCTCCCGCCTCTGCCTCCCGAGTGCTGGGATTAAAGGCGTGTGTTACCGCTGCCCTGCTAGGGCACACTCTTAATTGCTAACTTACATTGTCCTCCAAGAGGCAGAATACCTAGAGAAAGCTAGCCTGTCAGTCCCTAGGGTCATTAGCCTGAGTGAAATCACACCACACAGGCAGCAACAAACACGGAAGCCTTCTGAGGAAGGAACAGGATGCTATATAAAACTGCCAAGTTGTTCAGCAAACCTTTCCAGAGCACTGCTTTATTCTGATCTGGTGTTGAATGCTAGATGCTGAAGTCCAAACACGAGTAAGCCAAGTAAGCAGGCAGACACACATAAACAGAAGTGTACCAAACAGCCATGTAGTAAAGTATAGAGAAGCATGGACAGGGTGCTGTGAGCACTTCGGAAGTCCTTTTCCTATAGAAGGAGGCCTCCTGACGGACAATGGTTCCTCAGGTCAGTGGTACAGAAGATCAGGGAAAGGATGGAGAGGCAGAGACCACAAGCATGGAGTCATGAAGGAAGGACACAGTTTGAAGATCTACATACACTCTGGTGTGATTAGAACTCAAAGTGTGAATCAAGCAAGGATGGGAAATCACTGGGAAGAGAGCCAACGTGTCTTGCACAGGACTTGGCCTCCATTTAGACAGGAGTGGGAAGCTGACTGCAGGTTTTAGGGAGAGATGGTACTACACATTTTTGCTTTTTGTAAAGCCCTCTGGTAGCAATGTTCCAAATGAATGGAAGGGAACGACCTAGGGAGTTCTCTTATCTGTCTAGGCATGAACTTACACGCAATCAGACACAACAGTAATTAACCGAGTGTGTACGTTTAACATCAGTTGGGTGAGTGTGCATAAGCTGTTGAGAGAGAACAGTGTTTTCATCAGTGTTCATCACCTCTCCCTAGAAATATAATAGTTCACACTCAATCCCAGGAAATTTGGTGAACAAAGTTTGATGAGAAGAAAAAATGTGACAGTGTTCTGGGTGGTCGTTTCTCTGTGTATCACATATGGCATAATTTTGCATTTACAAGCTTTCCAGTATCTTCACAATCACATTCCCCTCCAACACTTGCAAAGGTAAAGAAATAGGTTTTTACTCTTATCTATATTATTTTAGGCCCCTACATTTCTAGACATCACTTCTGAAATGAGCATGACTAATCTTCAGCGTATGTGTGAGGACAGAAACACGCGGGGGTCAGCATCTGTTCCGTGGGGGTTCGAAGAGGATGGTGATACTAGCCCAAAGCATATTGTCAGGTGAGCAGCAGGGAAACTTTTGGAAGTGGGCAAATTTCAAGAGACCGGGAAATAGAGGTTTCAGGTACTTTGAGTATGTCCAATGCAGGTGTTAGGTTTCTCTGTGGGGAAATGCTCTTTTGGAGAATTAATTTGACTCCCGAGGGCTTCCAACTGCATGGACGCTGCGTCTTGTGAGAAAGGTACCCGGCTGTCAAAGTGAAGTGCGCAGAGGCCTTGGTCTGGCTGTTGGGAAGGGGGCATGGAGGCAGGAATGGGGTGCCGGTCTGGCCTTAGGTATAGGGGGTGGAGGCGGGAGAGCGAGGCGCGCGGGAGAGTTGGGGAGGGCTAGGCTGAGGGTCTGGATGGGGACACTTAGCATCGTGGTGATGAGGGGAGCAGGCTGTGGGGGCCTCTTACCTTTGCGGGCCTTGTCTCCGGGAATGTTCTGAGCCCTCAGCCGCTGGTCCAGGACATAGAGCATCTCCCCGCCCAAGTTCAAAAAGAGCAGCGGCAGAGTCCGCACCGACATGATGGAGGAAACCCGCAGGGCAGGTGAAGGAAGAGCCCCAGGGTTAGATTTAGCAGCCTGGAGGCCCCTCCGCGTCCCATAGTCCGGTTGCTGGGGCAACGCCGCGGACCGGAAAGAAGAACCAATCAGAGGGCGGTTTGATGAGAGGTGGCCCAAGAGCGGGGGCTCATTGGGCTAGGTGACAAAGACCGCTTCAGGGGATTGGTCCGAATGCGTGCGCGACGTTGGCCTCCGGGGAGCGCTGGTTTTGAGTTTTCCATCGGAGCCTTCAAGTGCCACGATCCTTCCCGACAGCCTCGCATGGTGTGTCGCAGCATAGCCAGGCCCCAGTCTTACCGTGGATGAACAAGGAAAGTCAGCCCCAGCTCTGGGAGCCGCCTGCCCGGTCCAGAGTCTCGACCCGCTGTGCTGTTCCGGGCAGATTTGTCAGCATTCTCCCAGAGATGCTCAGAGAAACCTGTGAGATCACGGCAAGCGCCACGAAGACACCCTAAGTTATACCAGTCCCTCATCTCGATGAGTTATATCATTTGTATTTCCTTCCTAAATCCTCCCGGAAGCGATGCCACACCGGATTTCCTACTCAGTGGAGCAACGCGGCCGGGCCCTCCTAGCGGCTTAAGCAGGCTCCGCACACCGTTCTCCACCCTCCGCTCCAGGATTAGGTTTGGCTGGTTCTTTTCAGTGGATCCCAGTAGATTTCAGTGTTTCTGCTAATCATTTCCCCCTCCAGCCACAGCAGTCTTGAGTTTTGGCTCCCGCATCCACCTTTCTGGGTCCTATTAATAATCAGTCACCAAATTCTTTTTCTCATATAATCTTTCTTTTCTCAGGTTTATCCCTTTATTTCCCTTTCTGTATTCCTATGTTCCTTCGAATCACTGCTTTGTGCAGCACTTAAAAATCACTTAAAAACAGCACGTTCCAGACTGAACGGTGGTGGCGCACACCTTTAATCACAGCACTTAGGAGGCAGAGGCAGGCGCATCTTCGTGAGTTCGAGACCATCCTGGTTTACAGAGTTAGTTCTAGGGCAGCCAAGGCTACACAAAGTAAACCCTGTCTCAAAAAGCAAACAAACAAAAATAACAACAAACCCCCTCCCAGCACATTGGTGGCTTCCTCCTTCTGGCATCCTCCTAGTCGGTTTCCTTGCCTCTTAGCAGCCAAGCTTTTTGAAACCATATCGTACAACTTGAGCTTCTGACACCCCAGTCCCACCTGTAATAAACATCTGTATCTTATGCTGAGCCTCCATGCATTGTTATCAGCCCAGCTCCCAAAAGTATTTGAAGTTTTGTCAAAACAGACTCTGTTTCTTTCCCCTCTGTGTTAGGCAGTATATGGACTTTGGAATCAAGACTGAGCTAGGAGCCAGGCTTGGTGACACAGGCCTTTGGTCCCAGCACTTTGTACGTAGAGTCCAGCCTGGTCTACATAGCAAGTTCCAGGACAGTCAGGCCTGTGACTTTGTCTTAAAAAACAAAAAACAACAGCTGGGCGGTGGTGGCACATGCCTATAATCCCAGCACTCGGGAGGCAGAGCCAGGCGGATCTCGGTGAGTTCGAGGCCAGCCTGGTCTACCAAGTGAGTTCCAGGAAAGGCGCAAAGCTACACAAAGAAACCCTGTCTCGAAAAACCAAACAACAACAACAAAAAACAAAACAAAACTAGAGGGAGCTAGGTTTGAACCCTAATTAACTTGTGAATTTGGACACGTTGCCTAAGCTTGCTGAGCCTGTCTTCAATAGGAAGACAAGTAGGTCAGGTGCGGTGGCACACACTTTTAATCCCAGCACACGGGAGACAGTGGCAGGTGGATCTCTGTGAGTTTGAGGACAGCCAGGGCTACACAGAGAAACCCTGTCTCGAAAGACCTAAAAAACGAAACAAAACAAAAAATATGAAGATGAATTGTGTGGTTATCCCCTCCAGGAGCAGTAGGAAGGCCTTAATGAAATGGGCCTGGGGTGGACTAGAGGTCCAGTGCTACAGGACCAAGTGCCAACCTCTCAGGCGACTGAGGGGTAAAGGAGAAGAGGGGCACACTGGGGGATCGGGCCGCAGGAAAGGCAGTTTTAATGTGCCACCCCCACCCGGCTTCATCTTCACTTCTGAGTCTTTCTACCCACTCACCTTCCCCTTCATCTCAAGGGGCTCCTGTGCCCTGGGAGTCGTTTTTCCTGACATGGCCAATTTTCCTTTTACATTGCTTCCTGGTCAATATAAACTCTTGGAGAGGGGCTGGAGAGATGGCTCAGTGGTTAAGAGCATTGGCTGCTCTACCAGAGGACCTGGGTTCAATTTCTATCAACGACATGGCAGCTCACAGCTGTCTTTAACTCCAGTCCCAGGGGATCTGACACCTTCACACCAATGCACATAAAATAAAATTAAATAACTGGTCTCATACTAGCTAGTTATGCAACCAAGGATGACCTTGAAATGATATTCTTGCCTTTCCCAAGTGTTGGAATTGCAGTCATTCAAACGCCACAGCCCAGTATCTCCAGGAAATTACACACCCAAGGCTTCAGCCACCTGGCAGCTCCTAAACTGCTCTGGTTCAGGTCTCAGCCTTCATCTTCCACCTGTTCTTTGGTAGTAGCACTTTAACATATTTTTCTCTTTGTAGGGTTTTCCTTCTCAGAATGAGGTCCAAAGTTCTTTCTTCAGTATGATGAACTCCTAGGCTGAAGCCCTATGTTACAATATTTAATTCTGAGTCCCACTGTCCCTGAATCTAGAAACCTAGATTTCTTTCCCTTTTAACTTGCAGTTCCTTCAGCCTAGATGCCATTTCTCTCTGCCCTGTAAACTCCTCTGCTGTGGAATAATCCTGTACACTGTGTAGATTACGCTGTTGTTGGTTTAATAAAAAAGCTGATGGGCCAATAGCTTTTTTGGCCCAATAAGGTTGGGCAGGAAAACCAGACTACGGACACCAGGAAGAAGGAGGAGGAGGAGAGTCACCAGGAGATGCAGAGGGAACACATGCTGCAGGACAGGTAAAGCCACACACCACATGGCAATATGTAGATTATTGGAAATGGGTTAATTTAAGTTGTAAGAGCTAGTTAGTAACAAGCCTAAGGTATTGGCTGAGCATTTAAAATTAAGTCTCCATGTAGGTTATTTGGGAACTGGTAGGCAGGAAAGAAAGGTCTGTCTACACTCCTCCTCAACCTTTGGGACCCAGTCAGGTAGAGATCTCCTACAGCTGCCCTCCTGCCCTGCCAGCATTACCTCTCTGAAACACACCCCATGACATGTTTTTATGACTGCATCCACTGGGTGATAGGCGGAACTCTGCCTCTGAGATCCCAGGGCCAAATGAAAAGAAGGCATCTTCCATCACTCTCCAAGCAGAACGAACTTTATTAGTTTTCTTTGGTCACCTCTTATAGGGTTTGGGAAGGCTTCTCTGGCACCCCCTGGCTGTTTTGTTTTTTGGCAGCCACTGCAGCAGCTTTTAAGGCCCTTCTTTGCTTCTTCCGCTTCTGCACCTCCTGGAAAACCTGGTGGTTGAAAGGGGATAGGAGGGGTTGGGGATTTAGCAAGTGCAAGGCCCTGGGTTTGGTCCTCAGCTCCGACAAAAAAAAAAAAAAAAAAAAAAGGGGATAGGAAAAGGCTTTCTAATTTTACACAAAACCTCAGGTTTGGCGCAGGTCTGTGGGAACTCTCTGATGGAACCCCATTCTTTCTCCATGTGCTGGTGACCTGGGCCAGTTCTAAGCCATGGTCAGAAACAGACAACTTCTCCCTTCTACTCTTCACCCCGGTCCGGGGAGACCGAACAAAGCAACCGACCCTATTGATTCATACCCGAGTGCACAGGGCCTTCTTGGCAAGGATGCGGCGGTGGACCTTCTGGAAGTGCAGAGGGGGTAAGGTATACTCCACCCCCAGCTCTCTGCACGCCTTCTCGAAGACATCATAGTTGGTCTGCCGGAGGAGTTTGAGCATCTTTTTCCTTTGGTCGATGCTCATCAGCAGATGGCGTTTGTGGGCTTTGTCCTATAGAAGAATCTGCATTACTATTATTATTTGTTGTTTTAAGACAAGGTCTCACTCTGTGGCCCAGGCTGGCCTCAAACACATGGCAATTCTCCTGCCTCAGCATCCTGGTTGCTGGGATGACAGGCCTAGGCCACCATACTCATTACTCTTAATTTTAGTGTTCTATAAGTATTAACAGTGTTTACCGTTAACGAGGTATGGTCATTTCATTGACCCATCCCAACAATCTCGTGCAAACATTACTGCAGTTCTGCAGGAGATGCTGTCAATGTACATAGTTACAGACAGGAAAATAAAGGCTTGAGCTTAGGTAACGTTCAACAGCTCTTCAGACTGTGGGCCCTGAGGTCAAGTCTTCAGTCTGGGTCTATTGGCTGGTCTGACTCCAATCTCACACTCTCCCCTGTACTATCCACTCAGCTTCTCTGGCACTTAGCAGATTGTCAGCTTGAGTAGGGAGAAACAGGACCTTACTCTCTATTCCAGGTCCTGCTCCGTGAGGGGCCTCTGCAGTGGAGCTGGGATTCTACACCTCAAGTGAGCAAAACTGATTTCCGAAGAGCATATTCAACCAGCTCCTGGGAGTACTCAAGGCTAGACCAGTCTGTGTTCATAATTACATACTTATTAAAAACCACAAGCAGTTCGGTGTGATGGCACAGACCCTGTAATTTAGCTCTCAGGCAGCTGAAGCAAAAGGATGGAAATTCAAAGTCAGCCTGGACAGCACAGGGACCAAAACCAATGGCGATTTCCTACTTCTGGCAGCTACTGCATTGAGTGCTTAAGAACATGGGGCCCTTGGCAAGACTGCTTCATTCCAAGTGTCAGGCATCACTTCTAACAGTGTCCCTTGAGGAATAATGTCACTCCATGGCAAGACTGCTCCTCTGGAAGATTCGAAAGACACAGTCCCAGGTTCCCAAGAGATGATGTGAAGAGCCTAGAGAAGTGCTGTGCACCATATTAATTCTTGTAATCCTTGCAATCCTGTGGCAGGAGTCCTACTTTACAGATGTAACAGGCTCACACCAATAAGCTTCCCAAAGTCACAGCGACTTTAAGTAGAAGTAACAGCTAGGATCTGAAC